GTCTATCTTCTCTCTTATGACCTGTGGGTTTCGGGTTTTGTTCAGGAATTGGATGCCAGTTCCGATTTCCATGAGGGTATTTCCTTCATTTTCTAAGGTTCTTATGGTTTGAGGTTTTACATTTAGGTCTCTGATCCATTTGGAGTTAACCTTTGTGCATGGGGATAGATAGGGGTCCTGTTTCAATCTTCTGCATGTGGTCAGCCAGCTTTCCCAGCACCATTTACTGAATAGGTTCTCCTCTCCCCAGTGGTAGGTGGTGGGGGCTTTGTCGAAGATGAGTTGGTTGAGAAATTGAGGTTTTGCTTCTGGAATCTCAATTCTATTCCATTGATCTATATGTCTGTTCCTATACCAGTACCAAGCTGTTTTGATGATTGTAGTTTTATAGTAAAGTTTGAAGTCTGGTAATATGATACCACCTGCTTTGTTTTTTTTTGCTGAGGATTGTTCTGGCTATTCTTGGACGTTTGTGTTTCCATATGAATTCCTGTGTTGTTTTTTCTAGGTCTGAGAAGAATGTTGCTGGTAATCCAATTCGTTGTAGAGTTACTAAAGGGATGGCTCTAGGCTCTCTGGTTCTCCTCCCCCAACTGTCTCCCTAGGTGATCTCCTAAGATGACCCATTTATTACACTCTTTCAGATTTCTTTTCTGAACTCTATGGCCATGAAATCAATTGCCTACTTGATATGTCTTTTTGGATGTCTTAGAAGTACCCCAAATTTTCCTTGTTTAAGGGCTGAATTAAAATCTCCTCAATACAAACCCTGTCCAATCCACCATAACCTAGTTCACTCTTAGTATTCCTTATTTCAGTGAATGGCAACATCATATATGTATTATGCCACATTGAGTATGATAAATTCTAGAAGCCCAGCTTCTCTCATTTATGTTATAGCTTTTATTAAAACATGGTATTAAGTTTTTATCTTAGTCACTTTGGCCTGTTACAACAAAGTAGTATAGACTACGTAGCTTAAAAAAGAGCAGAATTTATTTCCTATTGTTCCAGAGGCTGTAAGCGAAATTGCGTGCCAGCATGATTGGGTTCTCTTCCACACTGCAGACTGCTGTCTTCTCATTATATCCTCATATGGCAGAAAGAGGTTGAGAGAGCTCTCTGGGAACCCTTTTATAAGGGGACTCATCCTGTTCATTAGAGCTCTAGCCTTATAATTTAATTACCTCCCCAAATTCTCCACCTCTTAATGTTGTTCAGTTGGGGATTAGGACTTCAGCATATTAATTTTGACAGCATACAAGCATTCAACCCATTGCAATATCATCTTGGAAACGAACCTTTAACAGGAAAATTTGAGTTATTCTGGGCATTCCTTTACTAAATCTGGGAAATTTTCAACGTTGCATCAACAGAAGATTCTATTTGAATGATAATACTTATCAACTATTGCACATATAAAATTAAAAGAATTATCTTTTGCTTTTCTCTATGTGTGAATGAATTTCTTCACATTTACAAATGACCAAGTGGCTCTACTTTGTATAGTTTTGCAAATACACACATTGTGAATGACCCTTATTTTAAAACTAAGTGTATATAAAGACATACGATGGAACATGCTGAACCTCTCACCAGAATGTCTGACTATATGTTGTTGGAGGAGGTAATCTTTAAGAAGTTATGAGATTCTTTGAATTTTTGGCATTTTTTGACTCAAACCTTTGCTTCTCTTTTCATCTACTTAATAGGTGTGATTATGTTCCTCCATCTACATTTTATTTATCAGGGTATGAGTACAGGCATTACGTTAATAGAGTAGTCAGTAATAATGACTGCACATCTACTAGGTGCTGTGAATACGATGAGAGATAAGAAATGCATGGTCACATGTCTCATGAAGCTTACACTTTTGAGGAGAAAGGCCGATACAAAATTTTAAAAATTACCAATTTTGATAATTGCTATGAAAGAATGGAATAAGATAGAAGAATAACAGGTGAACACCTATATAAGATAGCTGGTCAGAGGTCTCCTAGGAGGTAGACAAGGTGCCCTGCGTGTGAGGTGGTGGTGGGTGGTCTGTTCTCTATATCCAAATTTTCCTCTTCTTATAAGGATAATAGTCATGTCGGTTAAGGACCCATCCTACTCCAGTATGACTTTATCTTAACTATTTATATCTGCAACAACCCTGTTTCACATTCTGAGATCACATTCTGAGGTTTCAGAGGTTAGGACTTGAGCATATCTTATTGGGTGGTACAATGCAACCTATAACCATATAGATGCACCACAAAATGTTTAGTTATTCATCCTTTAAGGACATCTGGGTTATTTCTAGTTTTGTATTATTGCCAAAAAAAATGTGCTCTAAAATTCACATACAGGTTTTTGTTTGAAAATAAATTTGAATTTTTGTGGCGTAACTGTCAGAGTACAGTTGCTAATTGTATGCTAATTGCATGCTTAATTTTTTGTGGCTTTACTATTATTATACATTTCTACCAGCAATGTGTGAGTAATCCAGTTTTTTCTCATCCTCTCCAGCATTTAGTGTTATCATTGTTTTTTAATGTGTTCTAGTAGGTATGTAGTGATACCTCATTGTTTTAATATGCAGTTTCTAATGGTTGATGTTTTGGAACAACTTTTCAGTGTACTTGTCATCTGTATATCCTGTTTTAGTGAAATACCTGTTAAACTCTTTTGCCCATTATCTGGATTTTTAAAAAAACTTTTGAACTCTTTACGTATTCTATATACTAGTCCTATGTCAGATATGTGATTTGTTAATATTTTTCTTTCAGTTTGTAGCTTGTCTTTTCAATTTCTTGACAAGTTCTTTCTGGAACAAAGTTTTTTAATTTTAAAGAAGTCCATTTATCTATTTTACCTTTTATGAATTTGTGCTTTGGTTTCAAGTCTAAGGATTCTTGGGCTAACTCTAGATACCAATTTTATACTATGTTTCTCTAAAAGTTTAGTAGCTTGAAATTTTACATTTAAATCTACGATCCATTTTAAGATAATTTTAAATTAAAGCAACTTAAATTTACCATGTACATACTTAAAATTTTCCAACTTTTATTGAGGTATAATTGATAAATGAAATTACATAAGTTTAAGGTGTTCAATGTGTGATCAGATATATGTGTTTTGTGAAATGATTACTACAGTCAAATTAATTAACACACCTGTCTCCTTACCTAGTTACCCTTTGTTTGTTTTACTTTTTGGTCAGAACGTTTAAGCAAATGTCAAATATACAATTCAGTATTGTCAACTGTAGTCATAATTCTGTACATTAGAGTCCCTGAACTTACTTATCTTGTAGTTGAAAGTTTGTTCCTTTTGAACAACATTTCCTATTTTCTACCTCCCTCCTACTCTGGTAGCTACTATTCTACTCTCTGTTTGTGTGAATGCAACTTTTTAAGATTCCAAATATATGTGAGATCATGAGGTATTTATCTTTCTCTGTCTGACTTATTTCACTTAGCCTAAAGCCTTCAAGGTTCATATGTTGTTTGCAAATGTCAGGATTTCCATCTTTTTAATGTCCAATTAATATTCCATTATATATGTAATATATTACATGTTATACATTACATGTTATATTATATATTATATGTGTAATATATAACATGTATTATTGTATACATTACATGTTATATATTACATATATATCTCACAATTTCTTTGTTCTTTGAAGATAATTTTCTGTATAAGATAGAGACTTTTTATATAAGGCGTGAGACTTAGGTTACAGTTTAATTTTTTGCATATGTATGTCTACCTTTTTTTAACACCATTTATTTAAAAGAGTATCTTTGCTGTATTGAATTGTTTTTACCTGTTTGTCAGAAATCAGTTGGGCATATTTCTGTAGGTCTATTTCTGGGATGCCTAGGCTTTCCCTTCGCCAATACTTGTTGGGAGGAATAGGAAAAATATGTATGTCAGGGGAACCTAAGACTACCCCGCCTATGTTTGGAGATTTGCTAGAAAGTCTCAGGGGACAAGTATATAATTGTTCTCAAGACTAAGACTTATTCTAGTGATGCAGTACAGATATATAGCCATATTATTAGAGAAAAAGACTTAGGCAGAACCTGGAGGAATCTACTTTCAGATTTCCTTTTGCCCTCTCCTTTTCAAGTATGGTCACACATAGTACACTTGCTCCCCAGCAATGAAAATGCCCAAACATGCATATACTTGAAGATTTCTTTTTATCGCTTTATCTATTTAAAATTGTTTCTTATACTTTTGTCATTGCTGTGATTTTTTTTTTTTTTTTTGATAACTATGAGATGAAAAGAAGAAATCCTCAAGATGCTTTAGTGGATACAATCTTTTCCGGGACCTGGTCCTTATAAATTTAAGTTCACAAAAGTTATTGATTTAAAAATCAACTTTCTCCCAAGAGACTGTTGAGAAATCAAAAGTGCCAAATTGCTATTAAAAAAAAGCAAACCAGCATGAGTTTATCAAGAAATGTGTATGGATTTAGAACACAGGTCACAGGTTTTTAAATGATTATGATATGTCATAATTACCATTTATTGATTTCTGAATTCTGGACATTGCTAGGCTTCTTATAAGTATTCTTTTTTTTGAGTCAGAGTCTCGCTGTATTGCCCAGGCTGGATGTGGCCTCCATCTCCTGTGCTCAGGCAACTCTTCTACCTCCACCTCCCACGTAGCTGGGACTACAGGCATACTTCACCATTCCCAGCTAATTTTTGATTTCTGTAGAGATGAAGTTTCGCTATGTCATCTAGGCTGGTCTTGAATTCCTGGGCTCAAGCAGTCCTCCTACCTCAGCCTCCCAAAGTGCCAGGGTTACAGGCATAAGCCACCATGTCTAGCTTCTTACAAGTATTCTTAATCAGTAGTTCTACTTTTCCCAAACTTTGTCCTGTTCTCTACCTTTTGTTAGGACACTTACGTGAAACTTGCTACCAGTCACTGAGTTTGTATTCTGCTCAATTAGATTTGAGCTTAATTTGAGCCACATATTTATAAATAAATCTCTCTTAGTGTGGGTTACTTTTGCCTACAAATACTTATTCAGTTTGTGTTGAGCCTTATAATCTTCAGCTAAGAAGATAAAATTTTCTGACCTTATTCTTCAATTCTGATACCTACCCTAGTTTATAATCTGTTGTCTCGTACTTTTTAATAACTTTCAGTGGTGCATGACACTTTTAAGAAATTATTATAATATATAGCAGGGCATGGGTTACATCCAGAGGTGTTCCCTACTACTACTCCCTGCAGCATTCATGGGGGTGAATTAGTATGAACTTCCATTGAAGGCAGCCTTCATCTTATCCCTTGATAAAATGTCACAGTAAGGCAATATACAACTTCTGTAGTTCTCTAAACGGGGGATGAGGACATCTACTGTCTTTGTATTAATGTTGGAAAGATGTGGGGACTTAGGTTTTGCTCAGTCCCTTGATCACATCTCAGCCCTTAGTCTTTGTCATAAATCCTTTTCTTGACTTGCAACCCATGGTACTCACAACATATACAAGCTCTATGCCCAAGCTGTCCCCTTGATTTGATTTATTTTGCCCTAAGCACAGATCTGATCCTAGGTATATTGCCTTTGAGATTTGAAGTAAAGTAAATCTCAGGAAGGTAGGGTGTTAGTCTGCTTCTGCCATTTTAATTCATTTTAGGCTCTACATTTTTGGACTGAGGTGTCTGTACTCCGTGAAGGATATAGTTTAGCTGTAAAGTGAAATGAATGTCATAGATTATAATGTATTTGAAAACATTTTGAGATTGACTTTGCCTCCAAATGTTTCCTTCTATTTTGTTAATGCTAACATTGATTGGTTTTTAATTAATTTTTTTAAGAGACAGGTTCTTGCTATATCACCCAAACTGGAGTGCAGTGGCAAAGTCATAGCTTACTGTAGGCTTGAACTCCAGGGCTCAAGTAGTCCTCCTGCCACAGCCTCCTGAATAGCTGGAACTACAGTCGTGTGCCACTGTGCCCGGCTAATTAAAAAATTTTTCTTTAGAAGAGATGGGTTCTCTCTATGTTGCCCAGGCTGGTCTTGGACTCTTGACCTCAAGGGATCCTCCCACCTCAGCTTTTCAAAGTGCTGAGATTATATTCATGAGTCATTGTGCCCTGCCTGTTAATACTAACATTTAATAAATATTGAGGTTACTTAAAATCTGTTTAGTTTTATATTTCTTATGATTCTGAAGGACTCTTATAAAGAAGAAGATGAAAGAAAGCAAAAGCATAATCTGCACATATATAAAGTTTCCTTTCATGTCTTTATTTCTTAAATAAGTCGAAATCATTTATATTTAATTTATTCTCTTTTAGTATTGTGCTCTTGCTAAGCCAAAAACAGACACTTGAAGAGCTGAAACAGTCAGTCCAGCAGCTGAGATGCACTGAGGCGAAGTTTGCAGTACAGAAAGAATTACTAGAGCAAAAAGTTCACGAAAATGATGGAAAAGAGCCACCTCCGGTAGTAAATTATGAAGAAGATGCACGATCAGTTACATCTATGGTAAGCTAAAGAGTAATCCAATGAGAAACTTTAAAGAGTAGTGTCTAGCTAGTAAGTGAATACAAAAATTAATTCCAATTTACTATAACAAAATATCATTGTTAATATGTAGGTCCTATTAAACTTGTTTGTAATATGCAGGTCCTATTAAACTTGTTTGTAAATGCAAAATAGACTTGTCAGTCACCTTAGGTCACCTGGAGAGCATTTTCAGAAACCACCTGCAGAGTCAGAGGAAAAAGTTCTTTTCTTGCCTTCAAAACTGGAAAGAAAGACTGCAGGTGTATTTATTCCTGGGAGACAGCAGGAAGTTAGGGTGTTATTCTTAAGATAGAAGTAAGAAATTTTGAGACCCACCTGAGCAACTTGGCGAGATCTCATCTCTACAATAAATAAAAAAATCAGCCAGGCGTGGTAGTGCATGCCTGTAATTCCGGCTACTCGGAAGACTGAGGTGGAAGGATTGCCAGAGCCCAGCAGGTCGAGGCTGTGTTGGCCAGAAGCAGCCACTGCACTCCAGTCTGGGCGACAGAGTGAGACTCCAACTCAAAAAAAAAAAAAGAAGTAAGAAATAAGGAGAACTCTGTTTATTACTTTTTTCTTCATAAGAGTAGTAGAATCTTATTTACCTAAGATTAGTGGTGTGCTTATTGCTTTTACAATACACAATATTTTAAAAATATTCTTATTGACCAGATATGATCCTTAAACTTCAATAAATATATTCAGATTCACCAGCTTGAAATTACACTTATTTTATAGTTTTACTAACTGTTTAAGAATGCCTAGTATAAAATTCCTTTCCCTCCTTTCCTTGCTTCTTTCCTTCCTTCCTTTCTTCTTCCCGCCCTTCTTCCCCCTTCTCCCCCTCTGTTCCTCTCACTCTTCTCCTGCTTATTGTCCTCCCCTCCCTTCTCTTCTCTCTCACTCTTTTTCTTTTTAAAGATCTCTCTCTCTCTCATCATCTACCTATCATCTATCTATCTTTAATCTAATCTAATCTAATCATCTGTTTGTCTATGTTGATGGTTCTTACCAAGAAGCGCCCCCACCGCCCCAGAAAACATTTGAGTGTCTACAGTTTTTTTTTTAACTTTACAACTAGTGTATGCTATTGGTATCTAGTGGGTAGAAACTGGTGATGCTGCTAAACCTTTTAAAATGCACAGAACAGGTCCTCCCAACCACAATTTACCCTGCCCCAAGTGTCAGAAGAGCCTAGGTTGAAGGAGTCTGAGCAATTAATATTTTTGACATTTTCTGTGGGGAGCTGGATATAGTCCACAGACAGAACTATTATAATTATGCTATAGCTGATATTTTAGTAATTTTTAGTTTATGTGGTTCTAAATAGTATGGTTTGATTGTTAAATGGATTCTAATGTATAAATGAATATGAAGTATTTAAACTTATTGCGGCCATTGCTATTTTTGTTATTAAATGAGCCATATTAATTGAGCATATCATTTGTGAATTGTGGATCTTATGAATCCTTGCTCTCCTTTGCTGTCCTATCTATAAGGATCTTAGCATATATGCCTACGACCCTATTAAATGTCCTTTCTTGTTTTGCATTTCTTGATGACTATCTGGCATATGCATTCTTTCACAGAAACTTCTGAAATATTTTTCTTTTGCTTGGCATTTGAATATCTTATCTGGAATTCTTTTGTTCTCTGAGTGTGTTTTATAACATTTCCCTGTTTCCGTACAGGTGTCAAGTTGGTTATTTAAAGACTTGACTTGGTGGCAAATTGACTAAATCCAGTTATCAAATTTATTTTAAGTATCTTTATGTGCAGATAACCCTGTTGGCATTATTATGATAGAATAAAAGATAGTATTCAAGTTGCTAGATGATAGCAATTCCCAGTTGATAATTATAATTAAAAATGTGGCTTTCAAATTTAAAATGTTCATTAATTCTTATTTTATTAAGTATTTGTGATCCTTTGGAGTTCAGTTTTTCATATTGTATAAAAGCTTTGTTTAACAAATGAATTAAGTAATGTTTCAGAGAGAATGCGTGAAACAGTTTAAGAGAACAGATTGCTTTCTGGCACCTTCATGCTCTTCTCTTGTGCCTATTTATCAAATGGTTATATTATCTTGTACATTTTTTACAAAATGATGTAACATATTTCATTTTATTCAATTCCTTTTAAACTGTTGAAATGCTAATTATAAATTATATCTTATCTATTTATTGAAGCAATGCCTTTAGTAAATCTTTAAAAATTTTTACAGAAGGATATTATAATATATGTAGTTAAAGTAAAAAATTAAATTTTAGAAGACAGGGCATCCTCCAAACTGATGCCAGTTAATGAGACTTTACAGTATCTTTTCAAAGCAAGTGGAAATATTAGCAATATATAGTTCTCAAAACTTAATAATACTTCCATAGAGGTTAATAAAATCTTTGCATAATTCACTTTTTTCAGTTAATAATTAGAATATTACTTTTTGGTTTACATGGAAACAGAAAAATAAAGTTTTAAATAATTTGTTTTCCCCCAAATGACTGCTTTATGAATAGCATTACAAGAAAAGCCTGGAATTAACATGAGCATTTCTGTTGATATTCTTTCTTTATAAGTTCCATCTTTACAAATAGTGTAAAATTTCAACAAGAGAAACCTAGTTGAATAATGGAAGAATTGGAAGAACTCAAAATTAAACTATGATATCATGGAAAATTGTGAAAACTTGGCCTGAACATTTCGGCCTAAACATTTTTTAAGAGTAAGAGAGACAATGAACTGTTCTACATGATTGTAGTTAATGGCAGTGTTAATGAAAACACTGACTTTTCAGTGGCAAATATTTCCATGGAAGAGTTGTTTAAGGGACTGTACCATTGAGATGGGCCATGCGTTGTATATTCTTATAAGAATTCCAGATGATCAGATGTGTAATCAGGTTTGGGTTGTATAGTCAGGTTCTTACGTCTATTGATGTTTATTTCAGCTCTATATTTCAATGAGAGTTAAAGCTTATTGCTGTGGTTTGCATGTTTGTTCCCTCCATAGCTCATGTTGAAATTTAATTGCCATTGTAACAGTATTAAGCGGTGGGATCTCTGAGAGGTGATTAGGCCATGAAGGCTCTGTCCTCATGGGTAGGATTAATTTGCTTATAAAAGGGTGAGTTCAACCCCCTTTGCCTCTTTGCCCTCCTACCATATGAAGCCAAAGCGTTCCTCCCCTTTGGAGGATACAGTGTTCAACAGTCCAGTTTGAAATTGCACACCTGTCTCTTACCAGATACCAAATCTGCTGGCACCTTGATCTTGGACTTCCTAGCCTGCAGAACTGTGAGAAATAAATTTCTGTCCTTTATAAATTATCTAGCCATAGATATTTTGTTATAGCAGTATGCAATAGACTAAGATACCTTTCAATTTACAAAAATCTAAAAAACTTATAGAGGTGGATATTTTCATCTCTGTCAAGATAGGTTATCCTTCTAGTGTTATCTTTTTTCACATAATTTTGGCCAAAATGCAAAGGAGAAAATGATACATTTTAAGTATTGAACAGTAATTCTTTGTTTTCTACAGTTATTTTTTAGTAAAGCAATATTTATTGAGTTCCTATTATATGCTAAGCACGTTTCTAGGTACTTGAAATGTATCAGTGAATAAAATGAATTAAAAAATCTCTTTTAGAGGTTACTTTCTATAGTGGATGGCAGTTAATAAATAAGTAAATTGCATATAATGTTGGAAAATAATTGCCAAGGAGTGAAAACAGAGCAGGATAGATGATTGGGGATCTAGAAGGTCAGAGGTTGGGACCCAATTTTAAATGCAGATTACGATAAGCACCATTAAGAGACATTAAGAAATAAATTGTTCAAGTCATTTGAACAAATACTTGAAACAAGAAACTTGTAGGCTACTTAGAATTTTGGGAAATGAGCATTCTAGTCAGAGGATGCATTCATTGCAAAGACTATAATACAGGTACATGTCTGAACTGATTAAGGTATAGCAAGGAGGTCTGAGTGAAGGGAAAGGTAAAAGTATGGGGAATGAGTTTAGGAAAGTCATGAGGAACAGATCTTGGGGCTTAGATTATGACTTTTTTCTGAATTAAGTAGGGAGCCATTGGTTTGGACGGTTGTGACAGAGGAATGACATGCTCTGACTTTTGATTGAAATTAGATCACTGTGGCAACTGTGTTGGGAATATACTTAAGGGGAGCAAGGATGGAAGAATGAGACTATTACAGTAACCCAGGTGATAGAAGATGACATTTTGAGCAAGGATAGTAAGCCAGAAGTGTTTAGCTCCTGAATATATTTTGAGGTTGAACCCATGAGATTTCCTTTGGATGTGGGGTATGAGAAAGAGGAGTCAAAGGTGACTTTTAGATTTTTAGCTAGAACACTGGAGGAATAGTATTGGTTTTAAGTGGGATGGAGAGATGATACATAGAGCAGCTTTGATGAAGAAGATCAAGACTTTAGTTTTTCTTTCCAAAAAGACAAGTCAGAAAAATATTGGGCATTTGGACCTGAGTTCAAGAGTATGATCTGAACTGGGTATGTCCATTTTAGAGTTATAGACAGCAGATAGTATTTAAAACCATTTGACTGTAGGAAGTTACCAAATGAGAGAGGACAGAGAAGAAAAGAACAAAGATTGAAGTCTGAGGTACGTTAAGAGGTCTAGGAGAAGAGAAGGAAACTTCTTCACAGAAGAGACTGTGCAGGAGAAAACAGTGAAAGAGAAGCAGATCAAGAGAATCTGGTGTCCTGGAAGCCTAGTGAGGAAAGTATTTCAAGGCAGAGGTAGTAATGAATTTATTAAATGTTATTGATGGGTGCAGTAAGGTGGGAACTGATAGTTCGGTATTGGAGTGAGTTAGCAACACAGAGGTCATTGCTGAGCAGTTTCCATGGAATAGTGGAGGTAAATACCTGATTAGGATGGCCCTAAGAGAGAAAGAAAAGACAATAATTGCATTTAGTGAGCATAGAAACATTTTTCAT